AGAGATAGGTCCATAGTTACTATTGAACTTGAATAGGAAGTCTTATACTGGCAATCTAAGTGTGACCTTGAAATTGACCTTTGACCCACTTTTTATCATGAACTGAACTCTGCTAATTTCTTTCTCTTTTAACTCCAAACCTGGCAGAGATAGGTCCATAGTTACTATTAAACTTGAATAGGAAGTCGTATACTGGCAATTTACTGTGACCTTGAAAATGACCTTTCACCTACCTTAAATTTGATTGTACCATTTTTAGTTTCATATATTTTTTGCATATATTGAAAATTCTTGTTGATTGCATGTTTACAGCTTGTCAAGCACAAGACTGGTGGCTGTGTCCCTTATTTTGTGTATGTGGGGGTCTATACGAATGCGCTTGCTCCAGCTGGTGGTACAATATTCGGAGGCGGTATCGCCTCTCTGATCCTCTAGTCTATTTATCTGTTGTAAAATATTTATTCAATCTCTCTCTCTATATATATATATATTAAAGAGGTTTAAAGCTACATTCATATCATGAGATGGTTGGTAATGCTGGAGATAAAGTCCTCTACCTGAGATGGAGCCCAGTTGCTGCAGTGCTATGAGACCAAGTTTCAATTCACCAGATCACCTGGATAGGATAAGATATGTACATGTACTATTCTATCATACCTCAGAGCAGTTTCCATTTTTATCTTGAAAAAAACATCAATTAGTTTGGTACAATGAAAACTGTTATAAGTTTGAATTAATAAAAAATCTATTTTTTTAGCCGCCCTAAAGCAAAGGGGTCACGATTGACGCCAGGAGGAGGGCCTCCCTCAAAGAGATCATCCTCATTGGCTGGAGATCATGAAGGTCATGGGGTTGCCATGGCTGATGAGGAGGCCATCTTAGGTCACATGGATGCCTTCTGTGGACGCATCAGACAAATGATTGATGTGATCAACACATTATCACAATATCAAAAGTAAGTTAACCTCACTTCCTGTTGCTTTTTGTAACCTCAATTTGTATTAATCTCTGCTGTTAAGTCAATAACTTGTACTAATACACATCAAACTCCTATCATTGAGCAATCTTTTTTTAATCACATTATTTGTATAAAATACTTTGCTTATTGACACCCCTGTTTTGGAATTCTTTTATATATTTCAAGTTCCAAAATACCTGAAATATTTTTCATCCCAACATAATTCATACAAGCTTAAGATGATGTCGATGTTTTAAATCCATGTTCAGGTGACTTTCAACACTTACAGTCTATTTGAACCAAAGGGTTCCTAATGGTGAATGGTAATTTGTGTTGTAGGATGCTGATCAGTACTGACGGTCTGCCTCGCCCCAGGAGAGATGACATGGCTTATGATGGAGATCTCAGTGATGATGAAGACACTGGGTCTCAGGATGATGGTATGTGCAGTTAGATAGAAGTGTGTGTGAATTTGTGTATGTTTGTGTGCGTGTGTGCACACGTGTGCATGCGTGTGAAAAGTTGAAGATAGCAGGCACACTAGTTTTTATTAAAGAAATGCTTTGCATTTATAGATGTTTGAAAGTTTTATCCAATGCCTTTACCATTATGCTTATTTTGCATTGAAAAGCATCAATAAAGAGCCAAAATTAACTTAATTATTTAAATGTTGTACCTCATTATTTTAGTGCCCCAATCTCCCTCAAAATACAAACCTCCCAGTGATCATGGTGGTCCTCCACTCAATGTGATAGATGAAGATGAGGAGGAGGAGCTTGCTATGATGGTTGACAGCCGTGAGAAGCAGACCCCCAAGCATACAAGACGCCATCATGATGAGAGCCATGACTCAGAGGGGCAACAGGGGCTGACCAAGGAAGATGCTAAGATTCTGAGTAAGTTGTTACATAATGTTATGTTATTCTAACAATAATTTATGCTTCTGTTGGCTGTTTTTCTGTTGATGTGATTTCATTCTGATAACTATGAATACAGCACTTGGAATGTAACATTTTTTGCGAATTTAGATGTTACCAGGTCAATATTTTGAAGCTGGTTTGAAAAGTATTGACATTTGGATCAAAAGAATATATCTTATGGGTAACATGGATTAATCAGATATTGTGCAGCAGTGTCTTAGTATCTCTGAGGATCATAAGGGATAAAGAACAGTGTGTTATTGTTGCAAGTATTTCGGTTTATAACTTGAGCCCAGCAGCTTTCAGATGTGGTATTACTAGCTTCTGTATCCAAAAGATATTTCCTGGTGTCAAGTCACATTTTCACATTTTTACCTCTATGTTCAGGACAATATTACCCAGAAGACTCAGAGACTGCAGAGGGCCCCAGTGTGGCTGCCGTGGTAAGAGACCACTCCCAGAAAATGGCCAAACTCATGGCAGAGAGTGTGACTACAAAGACTATGTTAGATGTGGAGTCAAAGGTAAGGATCAAGCATGTTTTTGGTTAATAAACAATGTTAATGTAGTCCTGTAGTCCTATTATCCTACCATACTTTAAAATGTCAAATAGTAGCTTGTGTATCATTTAACTAACGCCATGTGTTGTTTTGTGGTTCATTTTAACAAAACTGTCTTTATATCCATGAAATCAGATTTTCTTATATGGTGTAATGGAATGATATTTTTTCAAAAAGAATGCTTAGCTGTACTTACTGAAATATGTTTTTATTATTTTTTTTATATCAGTTTGATAATGATTTGGTAGCCCTGTACAGGGCTTCACCTACCATGGTAAGAGCACATCACCACTGGGCACAGTTGTTGTCTTAATCTTTTTTTTCATCTGTTAGCAGCTATTTTCTCATTTATTTACTTTGAAATAAAGTTTCAGTTATGTATAAATTTATGTTTAATTTTTGAAATGGTTTCTTGTGACACAAAATATGCTGTTGAGTTGATTTCTGTTTGGGGATTTAATTTTTTTTTTTTATTTTAAGGCAGACATATTTTTTTAAATTTCAAAATAAGTTTTTGATTAATTTATTTACCTATATTATTGTCTTTGTGGACATGCATTTTAATCAGAAGCTTAAGTATTCCAGTTTGAAACAAGTTTATAAGCACTTTCTCACTTTAAGATTATTTTGTCACTAGTATGTTAGTATAAAGTAGTCTAAAATCACCCACAGATTTTTTAGCAGTATCCTAAGTCTCACACATACTTTTTAGTGAAAAAAAATGAAAATAAACAGGATTTACAAGCACAAACACAATTAGAAAATGCACAATTACAGATTGTCATTAAAATTTGCTTATAGTTATTAAAATTTTCTTAATTTAAAGGCACTTCACATTCAGTTTCAATCATCTCAAAGAGTATTTAGAATATTTCAATTTGATTTTTTCACAAATCCTAGTTGATCTAAAATATACACTGTTTCTAAGTGCACAAAACTTTCAGGATTTGACTTGTTGCAGTTGAATGTAATAATCCTAATAAATAGTCATACTTGTTTTCCAAAGCTGAACAATTAAAATAAAGAATTAAAAGATTCAGTTCTTTTACATTCGGCAATCAACATCAAGTGCATGTAAGTAAGTGGATACTAAAATGATATATAGTTAAGGGAAGCCATAATGTATAGTTAAGGGAAGAGCATTGTTTGTATAATATTTGATCCATGATAGTTTTTACTCTAAACTAACTCTGTGATCTTTTCTTGCAGGACAAAGATAAATTTGAAGAAACTTATACAGGATTTCTCTTAACTGTGCAAGACTTGGAGAAGTTCCTTGGGGCCTACCTCAATGCTGTGTTCATGAGGAAAATGAAAACACAAGAGGGGCTACAAGTGATAACCAGGTAATTATACTGCTTCAGTATTATATGGTCTCAATCTAAGCATTGTCCTGTGATTTATGTCATGTGTTTAAAGGGCATGTATTCAGCCTCTTAGACTACTAATAATATTTGTTCTATACAAGACATGTTTTTTAAATAAATTAAATTTGAAATTAATCTTTTAGTTATTATTGAATTGTGATGTTTATATTCATTGCACCTTTTGACTTCTAGTTTATAAATGGCATCTTTACTTGTGATAGAAAGTATTATTTGAAATTTCTTTTTTTTTTCTTGTTTTTCTAGATTTACACCAATCATGTTCCGTCCAGGTATTCGAACTGTGATAAGTGAGAAATTTGTTGAGATGTTTAACTGGTATGAGGGAGATTTGGAAGAAGTGGCAAAAATGTATGAGAAACATAAGGTAAATAGCAATGACACTGTGCAAGGCATTAATATGTCTTCATTACATTGTTGTTCACTTTGGCCTGAATTTAACATTATCATTATGATTAACTTGCTATCCTGGTTTGATCCTTTAATATTTAATTTTGTTTTTAAAATAGCGCTTTATCTTATTTCCTCTTGAAAGTATTATATATTTCATCTGCTTTGAGTGTAACTCAGAAACCAATTCTCTTGGAGAGTCCCTTAATTGTGTCTGTTGTATTGTACATCAAAAATTGATGTTTTTGAAATACCTACCAGGATGCCCCTCAGATGCTCCGGAATGCTCCCCCCGTGGCAGGGGCCATCCACTGGTCCAGGCAGCTGCTCAAACGTATAGAAGACCCCATGAAGGTCTTTCGTGAAAACAAAGCAATTACACAGCTCAAAGACTTTGGCAGAGTGTGTAAAGTCTACAACAGACTGGCTACAGCTTTGGTGACTTTTGAAAGTCTGTGGTTTAGTGACTGGAAGTCCAGGATAGAGCAGGCCAGGGATGGACTCAGAGCCACTCTGTTTGTACATCACCCAGAGACCAAGCAGGTGGTGGTTAATGCTGATGAAAGGTATGTGGACAAAAAGGGGGTAAACGAGGCATGTTCTCAACTGTCCTAACTTAGATCAGAAAAGACTAATTTACCTCGCCAGACTTTCCCATTGCTTAACATGAGGTTTAAAACCATATTGAAGGATGTTGCTAGTACTTCTAGTGTAATCTGGTTGTCTGGTTATGTCATTTAGTCGGTGTTTGGCATCATTGTTGTATGGTATCTGTTCTTCACTCTTAAAAATTACTCCTGCTCACATTTGGCAAAATGTCTATAATGTAAGACTTGCTATCCTGGAAAATTTCTTGCTTTGTGGTTCTTTAGCCTCATGGATGTATCTTATTGATAGTTATTCGACAGAGATGAATTTCTTAAATGGATATGATTTTGGAGACAACAGAATATTTTTAGCCAACACAACTGCTGTGTCATGTTAATTAATACTTGAACCTAATGTTAACACTTTTTCAGAGTGCTGGAACTTATCCATGAAGCCAAATGGCTAACCAGGCTGGGCATAGAAATCCCAGAATCTGCTCAATCTGTCCTGAACCAGGAGGACCGCTTCAAGAGCTACAAGAGTCACCTAGAATTGTGCCTTCAGGAGTTCCACAGTGTGTGCAACTCCATCCCTGAGTCTCTCAAGCTCTTATTTAAATCTCACATTGAACAAGTGCAATTAAATTTCCAACCAGGGTTGTCCACATTGGCTTGGAACAGCATGAATATAGGTATTGGGTTTTTCTATGGTAGTTATATTTTTAAAATATGTATCATGCATAGGCAAAAGATTTCTTTTGAAGGAATTAAGACTTTTTATGTCTCATTCTCTTATGAACAATATTAAATTTATTGTTTCAGACATTGCTGTAGTGTCTTTGTCATGCGTCATAAAAATGTGTATTTTTGTGAATAATTTTTTCTTTTTTTAAACAAATTTTTCTGTCAATTTTTTTTTTTTTTTTTTTTTTTTTTTTTTTTTT